ATATTCAACAATATTACCTCTTTCATTCCACCCTCCCCTCCCCTTTTCTTTTACCCCCCCCCCACACCTAGCTTTCCTTACCAAAACTAGTCATAACTATATTTATGAGATGTAAGTTGCACAATGACTTATATTTTAATTATTTTTTAATGATATTGATATTGCTATGAATATTTGATATGTTTAATACAGGGTGTCAGCAGTCAGATTTTTAAATTAATTTTTAATTCAAGGCTTAAAAAAAGTAAGCCTATATATGATGCATAAAATAATATTTTTTATATTTTATTATTTATGATTCTAAGGAATTGTGTTTACAAAACAATTTTTAGAGAAATTACCGCTAATAACTGCAAACAAAAATACGCTTATTTAAAACATTAGTTTGAATTAAAAACTATTAAGCTAGCAGAAAATACATAGATGTCTCAAAAAAAATTATATGAATATCAAATATTCTTCGATTTATTCGTAAACTATTTTGATACCACAAACAATGTAAATAAACGATTTCATACAAATTTTTTGGGATTTTTTATATGTAGTCAGCCTGGTTTGCCTTAAAAATGATATTCAGATGTTTGTCCAAATTTTGATTTTACAAAGAGAATCAAAATTTTAAGTTATTTTATAGTAAACACCTACTCCATAACAATTTCTCAAAATGTATCTATCCAGGTACAGTTCGTCCGATATCTAGCTCATTCAGGTCTGATCCACATGGCTACAGTCCCGTGAAAAATCAACGCCAGTACCCAGGGCGCGATCTTGTTAGCTATTGATGTCCATACAGACACTGGCAATCAAATAGATCAATACCAATACTAAAGACACTATCTCCTCTCGTATGTTTCAACGAGAACTTATATTACTTCTAATACCGTAATCAAAGCAGAATCTCATTTAACTGAGTTTTTTTTTCATAGTTCATATTATAAATGGATTATTAACAGCGTAATTACAAGCTATGCGCTGTTATATATATAACGTAGTTAACAATCACAATATGGGTATGAAAGAGTTATATATGTATCTTCGTACATGGGATGGGTTAATCGCAATACAGGATTTGCGTACTTACAAAATTAACAAGATACGGCGTATATTACAATGGGCCTCATTTTTGCTACAATTTAAAACTGTTCAAATTTAAAATTATTTAAATTAAAGATTTTAAAAGTTCTTCGTAAAGTCCAAAAAGTTACAAACAATTTTTTTGGAGTGTTACAATGCAATGTTTAAGTTATAAAACTTTGCCTAAATGTTGTTCTCTTCTTAACGTTTCAAGGAAATTTTTAGAAATAAACAAATTACATAAACCATATATATATATATATATAGCGACATTCATGCATAAAAGAAGTAGAGACTAATTTACTAATTTCTTTGCTTTCTGATTTAACAAAGGATACATTTTTTTGACATTTGCCATTTTTGACATTTGAAATTTTTTGGTCACTTTCCTTTTTTAGGATAGAAATATATCATAATTTAATAAAGCAAACTTTAACAGCTTTGAAATGTTAGAAATTTTATTTAAAGTTTATTTGTTTTTTTTAACAATTTGGTTTGTTTTTAATATAAGGGAGAGGGATTGAATAGAATAAGTTTTCTAAATCCACATTTAAACAAAATCTGTGAAAAATAAAACATCTTTCCCAGAAAACTTTTAAATTCTCCAAATAGTTTCTTTGTACTTTTGTTAAAAACCAAAAGCTTTACAGATCTTTATCGTTCTAAAAATAGCAGTTTTTTTCTTCAAAATAAACAGGACTATTTTTTTAAATTTAATTAAAACGTTTACATAGTGAGCCTATAGTAATTATCGAAAAATGAAAAAACGTCACAACGCCCCCCCTCCCCCCCCGCCCCCCGGCTTAACAAGTGTTTATCTGGAAATTATTGAAATTGAATTATTTCTCTTAGTTTTCTCATTCCATCTTCAAATTAACAAGCTTGGGAACCTAGCTTTTCCTGAAACTTAAAATGTTCTCTACTTAAAATTTGAGCCGTATCGGTAAAAATTGGTTCATGAGCTATGATCGGAAAATAAAACAACACAAAGAAAAAGATTACTAATTTAAAAAAATAGATATGAAAAATATATGACCAGAGGCCGAATTTAAAGAATTCATACCGCGTTGCTGAACCGCCAATAACCGGTTCCAATTAAGCACCGGCTCAGGTCAAGAAACACTAATTACAATTTCAAGTGGAATCAACGAATGTCAAAATTGAGACGCGGATCAAATTCTTTAAATTCGGCCACTGGATGGATCCTGGCAAGTGGCAACTTTAATTCTTTGCCCCAACCTCTAATTTTAAAAACTCTTATCAAATTTTGAATCCTCCAATGTCAAATAGCTAAAGTTTGAAATATCAAAGAGCTTACGCTGTCAGGTTACATTTATAGCAGTGCTTAGGATCCATTTAATTTTGATGCGGGTCCGGATCTGGATCCTGGATCCACACTGGAAAAAAATGGATCCGGATCCAGGTCATTTCTGTAAGATTTACTGAATTTTGTTAACAAAAAGGATTTTAAAATTTTTGTTTTATTCTTTTGATTATTTTTATCCTAAACAATTGATGAATCATTCAGAAATGAGGAAATTTTTACAATCTCTCTGTTTTCAAAAATTCAGATTTGGGTTTTTATAGAAGTAAAAAAGTTTTTATTTGCAGTTTTTGGTTGATATTATACCCCTTGGATCCGGGCATATTTTTGCGCATCCGGATCCGAATGCCAACATCTTTCAAATCCAATGAATCCGGATCCTGAGACTATAGAAATTAGAGTCTCGGGTTAATACTCAGTTTCTGTAAGTGTGCATGAACAACTTAAATTAATTATTCTCAGTTCTTATCCAAGAATATGCATTTTATGCAAGGAACAAACTAAATTTTGTCAATGACTTGGTAAAAAGATCATTTTATATTCTTAGAGTCTGAATTTTTAGTTTTTCAATACTTGCTTTACTATTAAGATAATATTAGTTAAGATTGGCAAAAAATAACATGAAAATAAAAAGTATAATATTTAAATCGTCTTTACTTCATTTCGTAAATCTAATTAATTTCAAGATGTGACCTTTTTGGTTTGATTAAGCCTTTCACAAAACTGTCTCATTTTTAAATATTTTGTCATTTAAAAAAAACATATTTTGAAAATGTCCTGTTTTTCATTCGAAAAGTTTCCAAGTCGATCAAATAAGATTCTAATGGATCGTCACTTACGTTTACATGCAGAGACATCCATTGTATAAGGTATTAAATCCGGAATCATCCAGTTATATAGAATTTCAGTGTCGAGTTATAAACCGCAGATTACATAATCAATTAGTAAAGAGTTTAAGAAATACATTTTAACAGTGATTTGTATCATATCAAACTATTTTAAATTGTAAAACAAAAACAGAAAAATTTCGTGAAAAAAGCATTATATTTTACAATTTTGTACGTTTGGCATTTTTTTTTATCGCTAACAGATTCACGAGAAAAGTTTCGATTTTTAAAAAATTCCGAAAAAAATTCGCAAAAAAATTTCGTAATACGATTTCCACATTTTGCTGGAAACCCTACATATGCAACCATACCATTCCAGTGAAGCTTGTTTTCCATACCTCTGTGTGTGTATTAAAAAACTAGATGAGTAAGTCGTCTTACTTGTATTGATATATTCGACGACGACTGTATAGGAATAATCTTAAGGCTTTTTTAAATTATTTAGAAAAAAGCACTTCTATAATCACAAATGCACAGTGTGCATTGCCACACAATTGCATGAGTTATGAAGTACATATGGGTGAACATTTGTACTTTAAACAGCTGTTATAAACATTCCTTTGTTGAGGTTAAAATCTCTTAACATTCAATTATTAAAATACAAATACCGTTAAAATTAGGTCCAATCTGCAATCTGCATTGTTTTATTCTAAGATATTTGAATAATTAAAGTTTTGTGTAAGACCCTGATTTTAACTTTTTTAAAAATGCAACACGAAATATTATTAATATTATGATTATTTTAGGGATATTTAGGTTTAGCCTGAGGGGGGGGGGGATTCCGTAAACCGTTCATCTAGAAATTACTTTGGAAAGATCGTGGAATTTACACTAATTTTATTCATTAGAAATATTATCGGGGTCCGTCTTAGTTTACGTTTTTTGGCCCCCCTCCCCCCCCCCCTCCTATCCATTTTGTCCATGACCACTAATTTTAAGTTATTTTGTATTATTTTAGGGTTAGGTTAGGTTAAGACAAAAATCCAAAAATCGTATACTTGGAAATGACCTCCTTTTGCTTCTCTGTGCTAAAATAAGTGAAAGATAATAAAAGCTTCTGTAGAATATAAAAGCAAGTCAGAGTTTTCTCGGATTTATCTGGCTTAGGTTTATATCAATATCTTGTGGATCTAAGTATAGTTCTTCATTGAAATTTCAGTTTATTTTGTCATCATCCTTTATAGTCAATTTTTTTTTTTACAAATATATCCGAATATAATAAATGTTAACAATTTATTGTCTAAATTCGTAGCATTTCACACATACCCCATTTGCTATCTTAGCTGAACTCAATTTTTCATGTCACCAATTTTTCTTCGAACATAAGAAAAAAAATGTCTCGTACTTTCCTGTTTTCATTGGTGGATTTTAAGAATGGTAAAAAGAAAAGTTTTCTTGACAATTTCTTGTATGGTTATACCGTTGTATGGTTACCGTTGTATGGTTACCGTTGTATGGTTACCGTTGTATGGTTACCGTTGTATGGTTACCGTTGAATGGCTACCGTTGTATGGTTACCGTTGTATGGTTACCGTTGTATGGTTACCGTTGTATGGTTACCGTTGTATGGTTACCGTTGTATGGTTACCGTTGTAAATCGGGCATTTCCATCTTTGCTTAAAGGTAGAAACTATGCGAACTCTAACAATCCCTTTAAGTGAATGACAAATTCTTTTGATTAAAGAAACCAGATTTTGAATAAATGAAATCATTTCAGATAATGATGTAGAATCTACAGTAGGAGATGGGGCTTACAATTTACCAAAGTATTACTCCTGCAGATAGACCAGTAGAACAGGTAGATTCCTCTGCTGACATAGACCAGTAGAACAGGTAGATTCCTCTGCTGATATAGACTTATAGGACAGGAAGATTTTCTCGCTGATATAGACCAGTAGAGCAGGTAGATTCCTCTGCTGATATAGACCAGTAGAACAGGTAAATTATTCTGTTTTTATAGACCTGAAGAACAGGTAGATTCCTTTACTGATATAGACCTGTAGAACAGGTAGATCCCTCTGTTGATATAGACCAGTAAAACTGGTTGATAACTCTGCTATGAAATTTCTGTACTCCGTTCTCTGTACTCTGTACTCTGTAATCTGTACTCTGTACTCTGTACTCTGTACTCTGTAATCTGTACTCTGTAATCTGTACTCTGTACTATGTACTCTGAACTCTGAACTCTGTACTATGTACACTGTACTATGTACTATGTACGCTGTACTCTGTACTCTGTACTCGTACCCTGTACTCTGTACTCGGTACAATTTACTCTTCCCTGTGCACTGTACTCTGTGCTCTGTGCTCTGTGCTCTGTGCTCTGTATTCTGTACTCTGTTCTTTTTACTCTCTATTCGTACTCTATACTCTGTACTGTGACCTCTGAACTCTGTACTCTGTACTCTGTACTCTGTACTCTGTATTCTGTTCTCTGTACTCTGTATACTGTAATCTGTCCTTTGTACCCTGTATTCTGTACTCTGTACTCTGTACTCTGTACTCTGTACTCTGTACTCTGTACTCTGTACTATGTACTATGTACTATGTACTATGTATTCTGTACTCTGTACTCTGTATTTGTACCCTTTATTTTTCTCTTTACTCTGTGCTCTGTGCTCCGTACTCAGTGCTCTGTACCCTCTATTCTGTACTATTGTACTCTTACACTGTACTCTGTACTCTGTACTTTGTAGTCTGTACCCGGTACTATGTACTCTTGTACCACCTAAACGTACTTTATGACCCATATCTTTCTAGGCGACCGATGGAGCTATATGTGGATCAGGGCACAATTACCAAATAAGGAAATGGTTGGGTGTCCGCAGATCATCCTGGCTTCTATTCTTCTATGTACTTGGATACAGTGCATATCTAATTGGTCAGTTCCAATCAAAATCTAGATCTTTTATAAGAGTTTTCGCAAAAATGGAATACAAATGACGTACATTTAGAATCAGACAGAACAAAATCCTTTTTACTCCAATTCTGTTAGATAACCTTGGTTGATTTCTAAGAAAAAAAGCTGCAGCTATATAGTTATACATTCGTTAAATCTTCAATGCATCCTTTCCTTAAGGAATTTATGTAAGAACGTCGCAGGAAAAAAAATTTCTGGGGGAAAACCAGGAAATAAAATCGTTGGCTAAAAAGTCCCAACTTTCTGAGGTCCTAGGACAAAATGCCACTGGATATGAAGTCCTGAGTTTTAGATTTCTGGGACTTAGTTTTTGCAGAAATTTTGGACTTTATTACCGAAAACTTTTTTAAGAGAATTTTTTTGGCGGTTATCTCCTCAAGAGCTTACAGAAATTCATATTTAAGAGAGAAAATATAAAAAAACCTAACAATTTCAAACAAACCAAACCCACACCTACAAGACAAATATATTAAGTTTTATTTGATCCAAAAAGTATGAACTAATTATTTAATTAACTAGAAATAATTACGCGTTCAATGATCCAATAATTAATTAATAACTCTCATAGGAGGCAGTTTTCTTTTCTGCTCAATAGAAATGGACAACGAGCAGCATCTGAAATCAGGTAATATTACACAAATAAAGTATTTTTTTTTGAAAATGAAAAGATATTATGTTGGGTTGTAAATACTAAGAACTCTTTCATTTCCTCTGGAAGCCATATTAATTGGGCTCCATCCAGCTCTTCATGTTTATTCAACTTCAACATGTTCTTCTGTTTTTTGTTTAATCCGCCATATTTAAATTTCATCTGCAATATTTGAATTTTATCCGCCATATTTAAATTTTATCTGCCATATTAAAATTTCATCCGCCATATTTAAATTTTATCCACCATATTTAAATTTCATCCGCCATATTTGAATTTCATCCGCCATATTTAAATTTTATCCGCCATATTTAAATTTCACCCGCCATCTTTATAGTTTCCTTTGCCATCTTTTCAGTTACTTCCTTTGTATTTTAGTTTTTCCGCCATTTATTGGTTTCTATTGCCTTAATTTAGTCTCTTCAATGTATTTTATATCCTTACACATTTTTTTAATTTACTCCCAGTGCGGTTTATTCCCCTTATTTCAGTTTCTTTCCCTGTATTTCAGTTTTTTCCATATATTTCAGTTTCTTTCCCCGTATTTTAGTTTCTTTCCCCTTATTTCAGTTTCTTTCCATGTATTTCAGTTTCTTTTCCTGTATATCAGTTTCTTCCCCGTATTTCAGTTTCTTTTCCCGGCATTTCAGTTTTTTTCCCGGTATTTCAGTTTTCCCCCGTATTTCAGTTTCTTCCCCATATTTCAGTTTCTTTCCACTTATTTCAATTTTCATCAGATTTCAGTTTCTTCTCCGTATATCAGTTTTTCTCGTATTTCAGATTCTTTCCTCATATTTCAGATTCTTACTTCGTATTTTTGTTCCATTCTTTTAATTTCTTTCATCATATTTCATTTTCTTTCCTGGTATTTCAGTTTTTCCTCATATTAAAGTCTCTTTCCCCGTATTTCAGTTTCTTTTCCCGCATTTCAGTTTCTTTCCCCATATTTCAGTTTCTTTCCTCATTTCAGTTTCTTTCCTCGTATTTCAATCTCTTTCCCCGTATTTCATTTCCCCCCCCCCCGTATTTTTGCCTCATTCACTGTATTTCAGTGTCTTTCCCCGTATTTAGTCTCTTTTCCTGTATTTTTTTTTCTTGCATTTTTTTGTACACTTTATAGATCAATTTTAAACATTCATCATTATTTAAATCACAAAGCTATTTTTGTCGATATAATTTGAAGAACGGGTTTCAAACGCAAGTGGATTTTACTTGTGCGCTATTGCGGGCCAGCTGTAAATTCCGTGCAGTTCCACACAATTCCACGCAATATGAAAACAGTTGTGCGCCATTCCACGCAACTTCAAATTCCGATTTGAAACCCTTAGTATTACTCCACAAATACTTAATTAGTTTAATGCCCAGATATAAGCCGGAGAAAGGAAGAGTTTGTCCTCAGATATCCTGAGGTAGACCCAGAGGACCTTGAGAACCTTATCTCAGGTGAGGCCACCATATTTTAAATCAGGCGTCTTTTTATCTTAGGGCGGCATTTTTAGCAGAGGACATTGAGAACCTTATCTCAGGTGAAGGCTGCCATTTTTTATAATTAGGGTGCTAAAACTGAAATCTATTCCTGGGGTTAGATAAAAAGGATTAAAATAGAAAGAACTTTATGTTCATATTACAATCTTGCAGTGATTATTCACGAAAACGAAAAGGGTGTATACTGTATAGGGTGTATACTGTATACTGTATACTGTATACAGTATATAGGTTCCTTTTTTTCGTGAACACTTCATTTATTAACTAATAACCAAAGGCTTAATTGCGTAACATTGTTATTCAGGGGCGGATACAGGATTTAAGAGAAGGGGGTGCTAGATTTATTTCGGAACAAAAAA